AGCGTTTGATACTACACCATAGACTCATCGACAGCCATGAAAGAATCCACCCACGCTTTCAATTGTTTCCATGAGGCTTCCAGCCTGTTGTTTGTGTTATTTCCGAGTGTCACCGTATTTTGGCGCTTATACGCAGACCACATCTCACGGCAATTGTCCCAATTCCGGCGAAAGTATGCCACAAATGGGTGTTCTTCGCCGCATCGAACGGGTTCTCTCGTTGGCGTCCGGTCTGTACCCGATTTCGCATGCCCAACTGTGCCAGACTCACCCCCGACTGACCCCGATTGACGGTCGTCTAAGTTCGGTTCACTCCCAGTTGGCTCCGGCGCATTAGACGTTAGGACGTAATAGCCAATTGACGCGAGGCGGACCATGTACCGCAAATGCTTCTCGTATTCTGCTTCAGTCTTTGCGTACACCAGTAAACTCATCGCACCCCCAAGTTTCTCCTTCTGGGTCTTCGAAAATCCATAGTCAGCCGAGGCAACCTCTTCACGTAGGTATTTCAGTACGTGAAATTGGCAGAGCAAAATAGTCACTCCAGAAAAAGCTTCTTCCAATACTGAAATCTCCGTGAAATCCTTATCCACAAGAATACACTGCAGCCTTTTCCACGCTGGATTATTAACTTTTAATTCCTCCAGCGCCGTCAGTAAGGTAGTGTACCGCTCGTTTTGAAGCAAAGCGTGCTGGACGAACTGCCCCTTGCCAAACGTGTCATGAGCCATAAACGAAAAGACCTTGTACTTAGACCGATTCGTTCCGTGGGTGCCTCAGCTAGAACCTCCTTCTCGTGGAAAGCTTTATCTGTCATCGGCACTTTCACGTTTTTGTAGCCGGGATTGTTCTTTCTGAATGTATGGAGAACCAGACGGAGATTTTCTTTGGTTTCCCGTTCAACCAATGCGTGTTGAGCGTACTGACCCTACGCAAACATCAAATAGGTTCGTTAACTGTCGAAATGATTCCATATAAACATTACTAGTGTACCTTTCCAAAACAGTCATGCACAACAAAGCTGAAAAGCTTGTATGCGTTCGTGTTTGTGTCGTGAGTTGTATCTACCATTACAACTTCAGGAAAAGCTTCGAAAAGTCTTTTCATCCCAGACGTTTGAAAGACCACCGCTACAGCCACCTCTCTGGTGGTGTCCACGAATATCTTTGCCGTGTTCCCCTCGTCCTGCTTCGTAAACTCACGTAGCACGCTTTCGGTTCTTTCAACGTCTGTAGTTGACCCCTTTGCTGCATATTTAAGCTCCTGCAGCACGTTATGCACATCTTTGAGCTTCGTTTTCTTCCCTATATGTAAATAAAATCACACACAAAAGCATTAAGTAATTTGTGGAATTAGTCAGCCTCTACGTAGATAACCTGTCTGTTTGCGGATCCAAGCAAGAATGCCTTTAGGCGAGGAACCAGCAGCGCGCATGTCAGAAACTGTGGCGAGTAGCGCGGGATCTTGAATTGTTCGATTGGCTGCGTAATAGTCCCATAGCGTGCTACTCAGGTTGTGGTTGTGAGTGCCAGAACTGCGAACGTAAATGTAGTGTCGTGTTCCCATACTCGATAACAGAGCGTGTACCTTCGCGGTACAACCTGTGTAGCGCACCGATCTGTGGACTCGGATTTCTTTGCCGCGTGGTCGTTGCTTGTGTCCGTGCGTACACACTAGCTTTTGAAGTAATGCTTCCATGCAATTGGAAAGTGTCGAATACCGTCATTCATCTGCATATTCCTTTTTTTCACGGTCTGTGACGATCGAATAATAAAACACTGGCTGGTCTGGGCACTAAACGATTTAAGTCCGTCATGAAATTGTTTCCAAGAGCTCCACCTCGAAGGGAAGCCGTTCAAAACACCGTCGCTGCAGTTGCCGTAGTTTTCCGGTATATCCAAATTGACGTCATCTGAATTCTCGAAATGTTTGCTATCAGGTATCCCGAAGTGCGCGCTTTCACGTATCCCGAACTGTGCTTCATCGGGTTTCTCGAATTGTGAGTCTTTAGATTTCTCAAATTGGGCCCGATCTGGGGCTTCCAGCACCGTATTATCCGTCAGATACTTCAGTTCGCTTCCAAGTAGCGGCAATTGTGTGGCGACAAAAGGTACGGGCGAGCTTTCGTCTGATGACGAGCCACTCAGCTCGAAAAACTGTCGCGCTGCAGCTACATCATCAACTGGCGAACGACATGATTTTTGTAGCCGCGTTTCTTCATCTTCTTCCACCACCTCATTCTCGGAGAAACGTCCTTGTCGGCAAACGCGCTGGCTAATGCGATTCCTATGACGTTGCGGTGGTGCCGTAGCCCGCTCCCTTGGCATCATTTTCGAAGGCCCGTGCTTTGCTGCGTACTCCGCACGCATTTGCTGTACCTGAGCCTTCACGGCCTCTTCGTTCAGAACTTCCTCCACTAGCTTTATCGCAGCAGATTGCGTCGCTTGCCGGAGCGGCTAAGAATTTGGCAGCTCTCTGGTTCTCTCGAGGTTCTCGCGGCTAGCGCGAAGGTTTAATAGACGATCTCGACCTTGGAGAAGGATGTGACCCCGCTCCACCTGCCCATCGGGATCTTCTTCGCGTTCACTCTGCCGTATAGCCCCAGCACGTCACACGTCAGTATAGGCAGTCAAACAAACGGAACAAGTTTCCGTACCATTCACTCTTCCCCACGCGAATCCTTCTTACAAATGAATGGCACTCAAATTTTTATAAATTCGATTTCTTTGAATATTTGAAATACATGTCTCAGATCGAATTACCGATCCCACATTTCGGCATACCGGAAACCACACTTAGAGTCTACACTTTTACGGTATCTCTAGAATTTTTCGTGTTCGTGGATGCGTTATTTAATGAGAATGGCTGCGTACACCGTTTTTTTTTACGAAGAAAGTCCAATACAGTAGGGTATTTACTTAACTTCGTCTGACGAAGATAATCAAAGTTACCTTAGCGCAACATTCAAGTAACGTCACCTTGCTGTGACCAGTCGGGGGAAAGCTTTTGGAGATGGCAGGCGATACCAACGTGGAATCGATTGTGGACTTGATGGAGAGTGAGCTTGGCCCCTCTTCCAAGAAGCAAGATGCGTCCGCAAGGGCGAAGTTCAATGCCTTTTTGACCAGACATGTAGACAAGACTCTGAAGCTAGCTACGCTAACAGCAGCTCATGTGACAAAAGAAATGTTTGGTAAGTTTTTATCTTTTTTGTTTAATGATCCTGACATCCATTGGCAGACGTCGATGAGCTATCTCAGCTCTATCAAGCGTCAGCTGGAAGAGACGACTGGCACAAAGCTTTTCCGCAACGATCCGGAGTGGTACCGACGATGTCGTCGTCATCTTCAAAAACAATATCTCATGCTTTCCATTTCGACTGGAAAAAAGCTGAAGCAACAGGCTCCTCCTATGACACTAGACGACTTACGTTCCATCTCTACAATTCTCTTTCTTCGCAATGATGTCGAAGCGCTACTAGACAGAACTCTGCTTAACAATCAATGGCTAGCAATTGGACGCAGCTCGGATATTGGCACCATTCACTTCTCAGACTTACACTGGAATGGGAACTTTGTTCTCATCGACGTCACACGGTAAGAGTTAGCTAGTACTATTTCTTCTGTTCCTATTAATTGAGTTTTCGTTCTGCAGCATAAAAGTTCGACAACAACAAAGTATTTCGATTTTCTGTTCTCCTATATGCTGGAGTAATGAACCCTTTTCCCGGGGGCTCCATTTTCCCTTTGCGTGCGTGGGCACTCTCCACTCAATGACCATCCTTATATAGCCTCGCCAAGGTGTTCTCACAAGTATTGGAGACTACGACGGAAGCGCATGTGGCTGCGTACATCAACAGGTTATTGAAATCCATGTACAAGTATGATCACACGTTGACACTTACGAGAAATCTCCAGTCGCATTCAACACGACGAGGTGGTGCGGCGTACGCCAGCTCAAACGCCAGCGTGAACTTGTCGGATCTAGCACACAGAGGATTGTGGTCAGTGGATGGATTTGCAACTCTTCTCGAATACATATCACCTACCACTGCTGCAGACCAAAATGTTGCTAAAGTGCTGGGCGGCTGGATAGATACCAAGCAAGCTGGTCATCCACCCTCGCTAGCCTGTTTCGAGATGGAATCACATCAAACATACACCAGAGTTAGCCAATTTGCTGACTCTTTACGGCTTCTCCATTTTGCAAAGATTTTTCCCGAAGGGTTTTGCTGACTGTCTTACCGCGACGCTTTTAATGTATTACCGAGACACGCTAGCAATTTCCCCACAGCACATTGTTCACCAGAAAATGCAGAGTGTACACGCCGCGTTACCACAGCTGCATTCGTGTCAGGAGGAGCTGCTGGACTGGGGTAGCAAGATCCGGAAGCGGTTTGTTACTGATAACATCCTCTCGCTTCCAGTAGAAAGTATTAAAAGCAGTCTCACGATGGAAGAACAAGCGGAACAATTTGTTGGAGTTCATACCTTTGGGGATACGCTTGAGAGGTTATTACTTGGGCATCAAGAACTTGTTGCTGCATATGAAAGTCTAAAAAACATGATGCATCAAATATTAGATAGGTTAGATCACATGCCTCGCATGGAGCACACCGTGTGCGCTGTGTGCAGTACCGGCAACGTGGCGGAGCAAACCCAGCCACCAAATGCAGCCTCAACACCGGAACTACGTCCTCCAATGGTAGAACAAACGTGGCCACACAGTTTATCCAGCTTGAGGGGCAAGCGTCTGTCCGACTTCTTGGTGCAGTATTTCGTAAAGGGTCTCGGTTCTCTTTCCAAATCCCGTGGCAACAGAAGTCAAAAGGACTGCTTGCGTGCTGTCGAAATTGTGGCGTACGTTGCTGATTTGTCTAGTATACCACCTATCCCAGCGCCAGTTCACGAGTTGGAAAGGATGCAGTGGATGTATGCTATGGTAACCATGGCTAGTCAATGCGAGACATTGTTAGTGACAGGCTTGAGCAAAACTGACATAGTAGAACGAGGGAAACGCAAACGACGTAGGTCTGGTAAACTTACAGGAATTGTCAAAGCCTGGAGCGAACTAAGTGATGGTCAACGGGCTGCCTTCCGCTCGTTGTCGCGCATCCGCTTTTCAGCGTCGTGACTACAGAGTAGATATGACTAAAAAGCTGAAGACCACAGAAAAAAATTGATTAAACAAAAAGATTAGAATAAAGGCCAATTTAGATTTCTGCCGAGACAGCCATACCTCAGCGGTTGCCCTCGCCAAGTTCATACTGTCATAATGCGCCTCAAAGACTAATTGCGGCATGCATTCGCTTTGATCGCGAGGCTCTGCCATCCACAACATAACTGCGCCCTTCATTCTAGCGCAAAAGTAAAGACGACAGACAGTAGTTAGCATCACACTCAGCAAACCGACAGTATTAGCGTATGTACCTGCGCTCCAATGGCCTGCAAGCGTAATGCAGCTTGGAGTGCATCCGTTGAGAAAAGTGGTAGGGTCTCATGGACCGATGGTGTCTTTGTGGCGGCTCTGTGGCAGCTCTTCCGACTGGGCAGCTCTTCCGACTGGGCAGCTCTTCCGACTGCAAAATACACAAGGCTTCCCGGGGATAAACCAGGTTCGGCAGTGGACGATGTAGGCACCTTGGTGCTTAAGCAGACGTGGTCTTGCGCTTGGAGGAGCTCTAATACATCAACACACCACAAGCAATTAATTAGCCAACAGAGGGATCGCAGAGAAAGAGTAGATGGAGTAGCACATACCCCCCGCAGCGCATCTAGTTGTACGTCGTCCAAACGAACTCACCACGCACTCGTTTAAGCCGTCCTCGCGGACTCCGACGCTTACTTGCCCCTCCGCGAATTCGCCAGTGGTCTGTTCTATTTTAACCAATGAATTTTGCAGACGAAGTTAGCGGGGGTACGTTTACTCTCCCATAGTTAGTTCAAGTGTATACTGAGCGCTACCAATATTTGTTATCTTCGGCCGAGTTCCAATAGACTGCAACGGCCGAAGCTAAGACGACGTTAGCGGGTACAGTGGGATGTGTATCCCCTTCCCCGACCAGATGGACTGAGCCATTCCATGACCATCACTCTGACTGGCGACCCCCTCCCTCCGTCCATTTCAAATTCAGTCCACACAGCAAGCACGTGGCTTAGGTTTAGCCTCCGGAATGCCTCGCAGACACGCCCGCGCGCCAAAACGGAGCGATGAAGCATCCGGAAGTGAGGCTTCCAGTAGTAACGATAGTGACAGTGCTGCCGAAACTTCTAGATCATCGCTACACCAGCGAGCCCCGACGCGCAAGAAGAAACGACCGAGCACGCATATTTCGCGTCGTAGAACCCGA